AAAAAAAAAAAAAAAAAAAAAAGCTAGCACAACCTTTATTCAACCACTAAGTAATTAGGTGACCATTAAAAAAAAAAAAATCCAGACCAGCTATAGAGCAATAGGAAGAAATGAAGGAAAAAATAAAGAGAAAAGAAAAGACTTATAGATACTCCCTAGCTTACACGAGTCTATGGAAATGATGATGGCTATACAGAGGGACCGTGGTGCTGCAAAGCTGTAGGGGATGCACTCCACAACTTCTTGGAGCTGCTCAYGTGCACAGCTGAAACCAGCACCAGCGCTAAGCACGGCGAGAGCGGGGCCTTGGTGGGACCTATTTACCCTGGTCTGGTTACAGCTCACGGCTTATTCTCCTACAYGGGCCTATGGGATCATGTGCTTATGTATATATGTAAGACATATACCTGTAAATATCTGGCTTTAAAGCTACCTGGTTAATATTCACCATCTTATATATAGGAAAAAGTAGATCCTAATCTACACCTTTCTACATCAGAGCACTCGCACACACCACTGGTTGGAAAAACAGGGAGATTTACTCTGGCATTTCGGTGACATTTCTCTGTGGATTAAATGGAAAATATTATTTAATGGTCATGCTTAGGACAAATACTGTATCACCACTGTTTCTGCATAAAATATTTGTGTTTGCCTTGATTTTTTTCCTTTATTCCAGCAAGAAGCATTCATTCAGGTTTAAACCAACCCAGGAGAACTCACAATTCAAAGACTACACCTCAGCAGCAACGCCCGACAAGAAAAAAAAAATGGGATTTTTCCTAGATCTGCTGTTTCATTTGCTCAAACCATCTCAAAAACAGGAATAGAAAAAGGTAGTGTTCCAAAGACAGACTTTCTATAGTCTTTCGGCTTAAATAATTTGGGGTTATGGGGCTGGGGAGGGAAGCAGCGTGAGTCACTGCCCTTTCTTCCACTCGCTTACRCTTTAATTGATAATGGCCGTAATTCCCAAAGAAGCTCTTTAAAGCAGGAACAGAGCCCTGCCTTTTACAGGGAGCAGCGAGCTCCAAGCACAAGGTCAGGGCAGACAAAGAAATCCTAAATTATCTGATCTGATCAGATGCGGACGTTCTAATTCCTCCATATGGACGTGTGCGTAAAAATATATAAATAAAAGGAGGGGACACACCCCTGGAGAGCCGCCGCGCCCGGTACCTCACACCCTACACCTCCGTTAAGGGCACGTTTAGGATGCAGGCGTGGGAGCAGGCTTACATAAACCAGCCTGATCCGCGCCGAGGCGAGATACCTGCCGCGAGGCCACCGGCAGCCCGCGCGGGATCATTCACTGCGCAGCGCACGGACTAAGTCGCGGGGGAAAGGAGGGAAAAATAAATAAATAAATAATAAAAAAGASGGGGGCACGAAGGGAGGGGAGAGCGCCTCGAAACGCGGGTTCGTTCCGCCGGGTGCAGCTCTCTGCAGCGCGGCGGGGCTGCCCGGGGCTCGGCCGCAGCCCCGCACCTGGCGGCGCCGCCGCGGGGGAGGCACCGGGCGCCGAGGCGGGCGCGGAGCCGCCGCCGCCCCGCACAATGGGCACAGGTGCCGCGCGCCCAACGGCCGCGCCCAACGGCCGCCGCTTACCTGCGCGGCGAGCCCCTCTGCGCTGGCGGCGGCGGCGCGGAGCGAAGGCGGCGGCGCGGGAGGCGGCGGCGCGGCTCCCGCCTTGCCCAGCCGCCGAGGATCGCAGTGGCTGCCGCAGCGAGCGGCTCCTTGGGGCGCCTTTGTTACTGCGCCTCCCGCGGCTGCAGAGCGCGGCTCGGGAGCGCGGGCTGCAGCTGCCGCTCGCTCTTTCTTCTGCCGGCAGTGATTTGCATTAGCCCGGCCCTCGCGGAGACGCGGCGCCGCCAGCGGCCTCTCGCGGGCTCGCCCTCCCGAGGGCGGCGCCGCCGCCGCCGGCCCTGCGCGGTGCGGGGGCGCGGGCGGAGCGGAGGCCCTTCTCCCCCTTTCACCCCCCTTCTCCCCCCCCTTGTGGTCGCCACCCGCTGCCCCGCGGAGCCCGTGGAGAAGCGAGCGGTGCCCAGTGGGCGCACAGGGCATGGGCTGCCCCAAGGGGCCTCCACCCGGCACCCAAAGCGCCATGTAAAAGCATTTGTTGGCCACACACGTCWCTGGGTACTTCCACGACGCTTGCCTGGTGCCCCACGGGTGCCCTTGGTGTGTCCAAGGTGGCATTTGGGCACTAGGGTCACCAGGCATCCTCATGGTCCTAGCTCAGTGGCCAACCTCAGAGGTGACGAACCTCCACAGAGCCTGCCATTTTTATGCCTAAGTTTCCCTGAAGCTCCATTTGCCCTAAAGCACCTCAGCCCTCACCAGACTAAGTAGTAGACTAAGTAAGTCTACTACTAAGTAGTAGACTAAGTAAGCTCATGCTTGAGCCCCTCAGGCCTTGGAGCGTGTTTGCTGAGTCAACTTCCACATACACACACACACCAAATCAGTGGCTGCTGTTTTCTCATTAAACACTCAGAAAATATTCTCTTTAATGTAAAAATCTTACTGCTTAATATAAAAACTTGACYGACAGAATCATTCCCAAGGCAGAGGACCTGGTTTGCTTCTCAAGGATTTTAACTCTTATCTCTTACTTGCCAGGTAAACATCCTAGTGCACAGTCCAGGGGGACGGGGAAGGAAACAAAGCAAACACTTTCTGTCCCTTCTGCGGGAACTGCTCTGTTCTCTGAATGAATTAAAAATGCATTAGATTGGAGAGAGGGAATTAGTTGTAACCTAGCGGTTGTGGCACTCAGTTGGGAAGACAAAAGATGGCTTTGTGTGCCTGTATTGCAGACCATACTCTGCATCCATAAATCCCAAAACATCCATAAATCCCCAAAAGAGATGTGGGGAGTTCAGCCCAAGGTGCCTTCTTCCAGGAAAGAGGCTCCTGCTTAACCTGTCCCAATGGGCAAATGAAGCCTTCATTCTACAGAAACTGAGAGAGGCTCAAAAGAAGGGGCTGGAGCACTTCCATTTTTCTCTATACCCCTAGGATTGTCCACAGACAGGCTTTCCTTCCCTGAAGGAAAAAAATTAATGGTTGCTGTGTCTTCAGCATCCTGGAGTTCTTTAATCATGAAACTCCTGCATAAAGCATATTGAAATCTCAGACTTCCTGTATCATTAGATTTTGAGAGAAAAATGACGACCTAAGACCTCCAAGAGAATCTCTGCTAGAAGAAATAAGAGCAATAAAATGCTAAAGCACCTAAGAGATTCAGCATTTAATGTGTAAATCTGTCCTCAGCACTTCTTTAAACAGCTTGTTTAGTTCTCGTAGATCTCCTGATGCTCTCCATATATTTTCAATGTTGAACTTAGGCACTTAGCTAAGAATTGTCATTTTTCAGATACAAGTTCCTAAAAACTTAGCACCACCACATTGAGTATTTCAACAGTTAAGTTCCCTTTAGTCTACTGTGTTTAAAAAATTCTAATCTGTTTAGGTATGAGTATAGATATGTGTTTAGGTATGATGATAGTGGCAATTGCTACTACACTTGATCGGAGGGAGAATGGAAAATATTTTGTTTTTAAAACTCTGGTAACTGTGTATTAAAAATTCATTTTGTTTAAACTACTTCAGGAGTAGGTCAAGTATGAAATTAAATGTTTATGACAGTCTTTAATTATTATTCTTTAATAGGAAATAAAAA